TGAAGAAGCAGAGTAGCTCGGCCCCCTTCCAGCTTATGTCCCATCCCAAGGGTTGCTGGCAGTGGGGCTAGGACAAATAACCCCCCTCCGACACTGGTGTTATGTAAGTCCATGGTACTTTGGGACTTTCTGCTTAAGCAGAAAGTAGACCTGGCATGCATGACCGAGACCTGGGTGTGAGATGGGGAAACAGTAGCTCTCTCTCAGTTGACTCCTCCCGGGTTTTCGGTCCTTTGCCAATTGTAGACAAGAGGGCAGGGGAGGAGTGGCGCTATTAATTCAGGAGGCTTAATCCTCCAGGGCACTCCTACCACTGAGGATCATGGGCATAGAGTGTGCTAGCCTGGTGATCTGGTGGGTGTACCAACCACCTAACTCTGCAGCCAATAGCCTACCATCCCTGATGGAGGCCATGGCAGGCTGGACATTGGAACACCCTAGACTGATAGTCTTGGGTGATTTCAGCGTCCATGCCGACAATGCGACCTCCACTCAGGCGATGGAGCTAGTATCATCCATGGTGGCACTAGGGCTCTCCCAGTATGTAACGACTCCCACTCACCAAGCCAGACACATGCTTGAATTGATCTTTGTGGCAGGGGTTAGAGTGGACCAGATCACTGCGCAGTGCCATGGTTGGACCACTTCGCCCTGAGAGCCCATTTGAATGTCTCACCCTGACCCTGCTTAGGCAGCAAGCATATTTTAGCTTGCCTGTGGAGCCAAATGGACCCAATGTGGCTTCAGATGGCTCTGTGGGATCTGATGCCCCCTGGCAGCTCATTAGATGAGCTCATGGAGGATTGGCACAGCTGACTCTCTGCAGCCATCCATGAGATTGCTCCCCGATGCCCTCTATACTCCCACACCAGGCTGGCACCCTGGTATACCCAGGAATTGCGGCTGATGAAGTGAGAGCTAAGATGGCTAGAGAACTAGTGGTGGTGTGCCCGCGACAAAGCTACAAGAACATCTTATAAGATGTTTATGAAGAAGAAGAAGAGATTGGATTTATACCCTGCCCTTCACTACCCAAGGGAGTCTCAGAGTGGCTTACAAACTCCTTTCCCGTCCTCTCCCCACAACAGACACCCTGTGAGGTAGGTGGGGCTGAGAGAGCTCTGACTGAAACTGCTCTTTTGCAAGGACAGCAGTGCGCGAACTATGGCTTTCCCAAGGTCATCCAGCAGGTGTCAGTGAAGGAGTGGGGAATCAAACCCTGTTCTCCCAGACTGGAGTCTGCACACTTAACCACTACACCAAACTGGCTATTATGAGATCCTATGAGATGGCAGTCAAAGCTGCGAAGAAAGAGTACTATGCAGCCTCGATTGCGTCTGTGAGCTCACACCTGGCTGAATTATTTAGAACAATTCAGTTTATGATGACGTTGCTAAAAAGCAGGCCAAATGTTAGGGAACTGGATATTGGCTGTTTTACAAGATGTGATCAGTAGCTACTTTTAAATGTCTGTGAGAAAAAAAATATTAAATTGTATTATAATGTACTAGCCTCCAGGCCCGTTGCGAAGTCAATGCAATGAGCTCTAGTAAGACCCCAGTTATGGTTTATTTCAATCCACTCAGTCTAGAGGAAGTTGCCAAACTGCTCTTAACTGTACGCCCTACCATGTGCCTTCTTGACCCATGCCCACCATGGCTCATTAAAGCTGGTCACGATGGGCTCCAGGGTGCCCTAAGGGAAATTATTAACAAGTCCCTCTCAGAGGGCCTGTTCACTGGGAAACTTAAGGAGGCCATGATTCATTCCCTCTTGTAAAAAAATCTTTGGATCCAACTGAATTGGCTAAATATCGGCTGGTTTCCTAATTGCCCTATTTGGGCAAGTAAATCAAGAGGGCTGTGGCAGTCAAGTTACAGAGCTATTTGGATGACACTTCCATCTTAGATCCCTTCCATTCTGGCTTCCACCCAGGACACAGGATGGAGACAGCACTAGTCACCCTCATGGACAACCTTCGGAGACACCTGGACCGAGGTAGATCACCGGTGCTATTGTTGGACCTGTCGGCTGCATTCGACATGGTTGACCATCAGCTATTGATCCACCACCTCACCAACACTGGAATTCAGGGGCTAGCCTTAAAATGGTTCACATCCTTTCTACAGGGTTGGAGATGAAGGGTGGCATTAGGGGAACAGCTGTCCCGAAGGCATCCACTGATCTGTGGAGTGCCCCAAGGGGCAGTACTTTCCCCGATGTTATTTAACATCTATATGCACCCTCTTGCCCAGATTGTCTGAAGGCATGGGCTTGGGTGTCACCAGTATGAGGTGGCTTCTATCTGTTGTTGGGTGGCCAGTCTGACTCTACACTGGAAAATCTAGACTGGGCATTGCAGGCTGTGGCTGGTTGGCTTAGACTGAGCCGACTGAAATTGAATCTGATGAAGATGGAGATCCTGTGCTTGAGTTGGGTAGTCCGGGGGTAGGAATCCCACTCCTGACCTTTGATGGGGCACAGCTGATGCCAGTGTCGGAGTTTAGGAGCTTGGGAGTGCTCCTGGATGCCTCCTTAACATTGGAGGCCCAGGTAGCAGCGAGTGCTAAGGCAGCCTTTTACCATCTTCAGCTGATTAGGCAGCTGGTTCCCTTCCTCAAACATAACAATTTTGCAACAGTGATCCATGTGATGGTCACCTCAAGACTGGACTATTTTACATGGGGCTGCCCTTGTCTCAAATCCAGAAGCTGCAGCTAGTGCAGAATGCTGCAGCCAGGCTGCTGATGGGTCTCCCTATGTGGGAACACATCCAGCCTGCACTGAAGGCACTGCACTGGCTGCCAATAGCATACTGGATTTGTTTCAAGGTGCTGGTTTTAACCTTTAAAGTCCTATATGGTCAGGGTCTGTCATACCTAAGGGACTGCCTTTCCCCACATGTTCCCCAGAGAGCACTGTGTTCAGGGATGCAAAATCAGCCAGCTCTCCCAGGCCCAAAATAAGCGAGGCTGGCAACAACCAGGGTCAGGGCCTTCTTGGTGGTGGTTCCATACTGGTGGAATGAGCTCCCAGAATAAATCAGGGCCCTGTGGGGCCTTTTACAGTTCTGCAGGGCCTGCAAGATGGCTCTCTTCCACTGGGCTTTTGATTAAGAAGCCACATTATACACTGAGGAGTGTCCCTGTGCTGTTTTATAAATAATTTTGCTTTCGTTTTTATCAACTTATGTTCCAGTGTGTTAGGAGTATTTTAAATTATTGTTATTTTATATTTATTTATGACAGGTTTTAATTGTATTTGTATGAAATTTTATGTAAGCTGCCCTGAGCCTGCCTCGGCAGGGAGGGCGGGATATAAACCGAATTAATAAATAAATAGCATTGCATAAGGACAGCCATGGAAGACATTGCTGTCAGTGGCTAAAGACATAGTTAAAACACCAGCCTACAGTTTTAGAAATACAACATGCACTGGCTATTAGTTACTGGAAATGAACGTTAGCATATAGATATCAGAGCTGGGTCCTTGAAACAGCTGCCTTGCCGTTGCTGGTAGTCCAAGTGATGGGGGTTGAATCCAGGCAGCCTTTTCACTCAAGTCTCTACCAATTTCCCCTCCTTACTACAGCTCTCATCCTGCATGGCTTTTGGCCTGGGAGGTCAGGTCCCATGATCACTAAGCCAAAAGTGAGAAAGGGTGGAGCTGCCAAGACAAAACATTGGAATTTCTTTACTGTGTAAGTGAACTGCATTAAGAGAGGCAGCTTATGGCTCTTGCTCCTCAGACAGAGAAAGGAGACAACAGATGAGATAAGACCAGCAGCTGTCATAGTGCAGCCCTGCTTATTGTTGGGACTGTTGACACAGAGCACTATGCTGTGGCAGAGGGAGAGAAAGAGGAAAACAGGAGGAGAAGGGTAACTCAAACAAATTTACTTTTGGTCACACCATTTTACATGTCTTTAAATGCATGTTTTAGCTTTTAATGTGTATAGTCTGCATTTTATCTGGTTATGTGACTAGAAATTGCTATACAGGAGACTAGTTGTTAGGAACCAATTGGTATATGAAGGGTTAAACAGGTAGCCCTGCAAGCAGGTAGGAAACCCCCTTTTAGCATTGGGGAGAAGGAAAAGTTAAAGAATGATACTTAGAATGACACTTTAGAAATGTCAGTTAGGGATATGATGGAGTAAGAGTGTATTGAGTGGTGCTGAAGAGTCTATTTTGAAGACTAGGGAATTAGGTAGAGAAAGGTTTTTAAGGTGAACACATAGTTCTTGAGAAGAGGGGAAATGGCAGCAGCGCAGCAGCAACTACTGTTACAGCCTCCTCACAATTAAGGTATCTCTCTTTTTTGAAGATAACAGTTCTTGATATGCTAACATATCCTGAACTGTTACCTGTGTTTCTGAGTATTACCTTCTCAATCAATCCACTTGCTCAGGTTGCTACAACAAATTTTACGAGCAATGCATGTTTGAATATTCTATATATATTTTCTTCATAATACATTTTATTTTGAAAGAACAAGTTAAGAGTATCTTGTTCACTTCTCTCACACCTATTACCGACCTCCTGGGATAAGCATGGAAATGATTTGTCCTGAAACTAGGACTTCACAACAAGGTTAAGTAAAAGAAAACACAGAATACTTCAAAGGTGCCGTTCAAAGGAAGTTCTTGGTGGTGGCATCAGAAACGGAAAAAGAGGTAGGTGGAAGGGCAGGGGTCAGTGAACTGCTTTACTAGGATCCGCTATGTAGGCAAAACAGGCAGTGGCCAAAGAAGTTGTTGCTGGCCTGTTTTCCTACACATGGTGGCTCGACTGGGATAAGCCCGTTTCACCACAGTAATTTCCCTTCCCTAAAATATACTTACAACTCTAAACAGCATTCCCCCCACACACACCAAAGCAAGAATGTTTTATAACAAGGGAAGCAGATTTACCATTTAATAGAAATATGAAAAAAGTCTTCAAAGCGTTTAAATGTAAGAATGATTGTCTAAGATCAACAACGTAAGGAGCAACACATACCTTCTATAATGTAGACACACTCTCTGTCAGGAGGATACTTGTTGGGATAATTGGGAGAAGTGAAGATGCCTCCTTCTGGGTATTTTGTCCACGTTCCACACTGCACTGTCTTTTGTCCTTCTGAAGTGGCTTGCTTTTCTGGGGGAGGGGGGTGACACAGGTATGGACACACATTAGGACATCTTTGACTTACATCCATTCATATAGTCTTTTTTTAAAAAGTTTTATTTAATATTTTACAGAGTATATTCATACATATACTGATATTTATACACATATGACATAACGGAGTCTATTGCTTATTCTTTTCCTTTACCTATTTATATATCCTCGCCCATCTTTCCTGTAATATTTTATCATCTTTTCCTTGCAGTATTACACTCAGTTTGTCCATTTCTGCCACTTCCAAGGTTTCATAGCTAATTCCTTTCTCGTTGGTATCTTCTCTTGTTTCCAATACTTCACTATTAAATTTCTAGCTGCTGTGAGAATATAGGTCAGTACATATACATCATTTTCTTTGTATTCCTTGGGAATTATATTTAACAAATAAATCTCTGGACATGGTTTTAAATTGATATGTAACATTTCTGTTATTATATTACTTACATTTTGCCAAAATCTGTAAATTTTTCAACATTTCCACCACATGTGGAAGAAAGTCCCTACGTTCGTTTTATATCTCATACAGTTTTTATTTGATGTTTTATATGCTTTCGCTATCTTTTCTGGTGTCCAATACCACCTATGAAACATTTTGAATATATTTTCTTTAAAGGTTATTGCTCTCATTAGTTTCATTGTTTTCCATATTTTTTTGCCAATCATCAGTTTGGATGGTCTTTCCCAAATCTTTCATCCACATAATCATAGAATTCTTTATTGTTTCATCATATAAATATTCATCTAGTAAAAGTTCAAATTTGGATTTTTAAAATTCCAGTGTTTTGTCTTTATTATATCTATCCTGTAGTTGCATTTGTTCCCACCATGTAAGGTGGAAGTTCTTGGTTTTTAAATTTTCTATTGATCTTAATTTATTATTTTCATCAAGCAGTGTATCATATGGGATAGCTTAATCCTTTGACATTAATTTAGGATTTATAAATGATTCTAAAGGTGACACCCATCTTGGAATTTTTGTATAGTGGTTATCTTTTATTTCCTTCCATATTTTTATTAGTGCTGTTCTGAGAATATGGTTATGAAAGTTAGCATGGATTTTATCTTTTCCATACTATAGGTACGCATGCCAGCCCATATATAGGTCATGATCTTTTAAGTGTAGAATTCTCCAGTTTTCTAGTTGTATCCAATCTTTGATCCAAGCCATAGTAGCCGCTTGATAGTAAATACACCAGTTTGGTAAGCCCAATCCTCCTCTTCCTTTTTTATCTTGTAGTATCTTTAATTTAATTCATATGGTCTTGACTGGAAATGTGGTTTGTGATTCAACCTGTGGCTATCTTCTACTCACTGTGGACAAAGCAGCAACCCTTCACCAGGCATAAATAGCCAGGCTGGAGTCACATCATCCCAGATCTTCTCTAGAGAACATTTAAAAAGGAACAATGTATTGAGAGGGGGCAGAAAGTGCCCAGGTAGCAAGGGTTTCCCCCCAATATCTACTTCCCTGTTCCCTTATCTCACAAAATATACATCCTTATGAAGCCATGCTCCAGACTTGCTGCCTACACTGACAAAGAAGATGGAATCAGTTAGATATGCTAGGAAACCACTGCAGAGTCTTTGGAGAGATTTATGGATGCTGAAACTACATGGTACTGTTACAGGAAAGCATTCATCCCTATTGTTCAGTTGTCCTGATCTGTGGGTTGGAACTGAGGGACACATCAACACTCAGATCTTGTATCTGGATTGACACAGTCATGAAAGATACCTTGACATCCCTGTTCAGATGCCTCAATTGGTTTTAGGAAGCCTTCTTTTCTCTCACCCATCCCACCTCTTGTTTCTTTCCTTTCCTCTGCAGCCACAGAGACACAGGACGTCAAGAGTGAGGCAGAAATGTACCTGGTAATGTATTATTTTGGAATGCAGAGCCTTGTCACCATAGATCTAGAGTCCTGTTTGATATTAACTAGAGATGCTGGTTTCATTTTTTTAAACCTTCATGGTGTATGGTTTTGAGCCACCTCGAACTATTTGCTCTGCAGGTATATTTCTGCATAGTGCCTGCTAACAGTCTTTCTTTTCTTGATCTGGGTTGCAGATTCATTGTGGTGTGTGTGAAAGGGAAATGATTTTACTATGTAGCTGGGGTGGTGAACTAAGACTACTTTCTCTACTTTCAAACGCTTGGATTTCCTGACTGGTTGTATAAACGTAGGTTCTGCTATCTAACCTTGCTCAAATGTGAAATGCACAGTGTGGAGGACAACATATTCCAGCCTGTCTTTTTCTGACCTTGATGCAAGTGCCTGCACAATACATGCTGATCTTCATAGGCCTGCCCTGAAATTCAGCGCTATCATTGCACTATTTTTGTTCCTTTAAAAAAAAAAAGTCAACATCTTCAATAATTTTTTTAAGTTATACCTTAAAAGATTCTATATATTAAGAATATACCTTGTAAAAACATACCTGCTCCTTTTTTTGTTGCCCCAGCCCAATGTAGGATGATAAAACTTGCTACAACTGAAAAAGAAAGAACCATCTATTACTTGCAGCACTGAGCTGGTTACAGCAACACAGATATAATATTCCATTTCCAAGGTAAGAACACACTCAAGAAACAAGGAACCACATGCTGCATTTTGTGGCTGCATTTAGAAATTGGTGGTCTCTTACTGCTGATCAGGATCAGCTCTGTGATGAGCTGCAGTCCACCAGTGCCTCCCCACCCCACCCCGTGCTGCCCACCCTCATCACCTCCAGTCTATTCAGTCTTCTTTGCTTGAAATTATGCTGGGGAGCTACTTTATGGAGAGTTTCAGGCTATGATCCAAATATTAAAGCCATGCTGTTACAGAGTGCTGAAGACAGTGTATTCTTCACAACCATCATTACTTATGTTATTACTGTCTGACATTCAGCTTACACAAAAGACATGTGATCATAGCCTGATTTAACTTATTTGACCCATTCAAGCCAAATCACAATGTCATCATCTGCACTGAACACTACATATTTCCAGACAATGAATATCCTATCTTCCAATTTTTAATATAGTTTTTCATAAATATTATATTTGGTCCATTTGGATTACTTTTGTAGTAGTGCAGTCCTTCTGAAGTGCTGGTGGAAGTATGTGGGCAGCCTAGTGTTCCCTCTAAGCTGAGTTAGTGTGAGCTAGCTCACAGCTTTTTAGCCTTTGGGTCACAGATTTTTGTTTTAGCTCAGGAGGGATGGCTCCAGAGCAAACTTATATATGCAGCAGCCAACTCACTTGCTCACAATTTTAATGCCAGTAGCTCACAAAGTAGAATTTTTGCTCACAAGACTCCACAGCTTAGAGGGAGCATTAGCATAAATTGTCAACTCAAATATTATTCAAAGGTGTTCTAGTAAGATAGGAATTAATTGTGCAATCTTAAGAACACTTTCATCCTTCTAAGCCAGTTGACTCTGCTTAGGAGGACACTGTAAATAACTATAGCAGTATTTTTAATGTAGATCTTTTCTGTTGAACCATAGTAGCTGCTGAGAGGAAAAGTCTGGTTTCAGTCTAAATTGCAATCTAAATCTCCTCTTGATACCTGTAAATTATCATCTGGCAGTAGGTGCATAATCACTGTGTTGCCTGAGCACCACATAGGCAAAAGGAACTGCTGGCCTGATCCTTGGCTGAAAAGTATACTACAGCCCATATGTCCAGCTAGATCCCAAGTCTTGAGGAGCTAATGGCAGCCTTTTGATATTATATAGCTGCGGCTTCATGCTAGGCTCTCCAGTCCAAGTCAATACTAACAAACATAATTTTCCTATGGATTCCTGAAGCTCTGTACCTAAATCTCTGTCTGGCCTGACTGCACTGAAACATCTGCTGAGCCATTCTCCTAATTTTATTTCACTGGAAATCTTGCCCAAATGGCTACTGTGCTTTTGGCTCAACTATCAGCCACTCATCAACATGACAATGTCCTAGACTATAAACTAGTTTTCATGCACTACTATTGGTGCCCTACTGTTTTGATGCACTCAGTCCACTTTACTGTTTCATATAACTAGTTGACCTGGATGGAATGTACATAACCATCTGTATCAGACATATCTTTCCAAGGATGTTGGTTGAGCACTGAGATGCATATCCACATCAGCTGAATGTCTGGATTTCCCTTGCTGCATTAGAATGCAAAAGTTTCAAAATGTGGAATGACTTCCTTCCTTCTTTTTCATAGCAGTGTGTACTTGCTGTATTTTTCCAACAGCTCCCTTCTCTTAAAAGTATACATTTCCCTCTTTTTATAAACAGTTGCCAACATTTATGAAGAAACTACAGCCTTTTAATACCCCCAGAGACATCTGTCTTTTAATATCATTATTATATGTAGCTTAGTGTTGCTCATCTAGGGTTTTTTTTTTAAGTCTTCCTAGTTAGCACACTGTATGATGCAGTCAATATAAAACAAATCTGTTAGAAAAGCAGGATGTGGGATTGTGTCTCTGCAAACAGGATTAGAATAACTAGTCTTTAGAACCCTTTCATCTCCTTATTCTTCAATGATTCAGTTGCTTCATGTTAACCAAATACCATAATAATTCCAGTAAAGTATGACTGACTTATCATTGGGTTAGGAGTTGATTTGCAACCTGGTCCACTGAGCACTTATCAAGCAGATAGGGATGCTAAAAGGGAGGAGGTCAAAGTTCTAGGAACCCACGAAACCAAGCTAACCACGTAATTTGTTTTTATATGCTGTTTGGGCTGGCTTTGAAGGGTGTGATGAGGAGGCACAGATGGAATCTTTCTCAGTGGCGCATTCCAGCAGCCTTGCCAGCAGAAATTCCCCTTAGGAGGGTTTGTACTGGCAAAGTACTTCTGGGAGTGGGGGAGGAGAGCTGACTCAGTGAAGGAAATACTGGAATAAAGGGAACTCACTGAGGGTATAACTTTCTGTAAACTGCAAGGTCTGTTTGTGTAACATCCATATAGCCATTAGTACTTAAGAATACATTTACTGGATATCATTTGCAAGAGAAAAATGCAAATGATATTTGCAAATTTTGTTTCCTATTCAAATCTTGCGTGGTTTTCTACACTCCCCACCCCCCCCGTCTCAAAGACAGATGGTTGCAATACATAGGATTTTGTAACCATTATGGTTTGAAACAGGAGCATAGCGTAGTTACCCATTTACTAATGTGTATTTTATGTGGAACAAAGTAACAAAATAGGCTCTGAGCTTACTGAAGCTAAGACAGCGCACACGTTTCTAAATAATACATAGGTTAGCTCTTTATGAATCAATGGAGCTACAGATCGAGAGCTTTAAAAACTGGTTATTTTTATAGTGAACACATGTAACTCTACAACCCTATACTAATCAAAGTTGCAATAACTGTGAAGAAATTAATTATGGTTCTTGTTTACATTTAGATATGAAAATGTTAACAGATTATCTATTTATTTATTTTATTTAGAAGAAGAGAAGAGATTGGATTTATACCCCGCCCTTCACTTGGAGTCTCAGAGCGGCTTACAAACTCCTTTCCCTTCCCCTCCCCACAACAGACACCCTGTGAGGTGGGTGGGGCTGAGAGAACTCTTGACAGAAACTGCTCTTTTTCAAGAACAGCTGTGCCAGAGGTTGTGACTGACCCAAGGTCACATCAGCAGGTGCAAGTGGAGGAGTGGGGAATCAAACCCGGTTCTCCCAGATTAGAGTCCGCACACTTAACCACTATACCAAACTGGCTCTCCCTCGCTATATATACCACCCTCCCTTGCTAGTGGGCTCAGGGCAGGTCACAAGACATTTCACAGTAAAAACAATATTAATGTATACTACTACTACTGTTGTTGTTATTATCAATTGAGTAAATGTGAACTAAATTCCACTGACCTACACCCATTCTTTTACCTTCAAACTAACAGACTTGCAGGTAAAATGAGAACAAACTGTTGAGTGGATATTCCTAGTGAGTATCACATGGCACTCTGTCCTTCTTTGTGGGTACCAGAAAATGTGGTTAATCATTCTTTAGGGTCCAAAATCAAGTTTGGGCATTTAGGCAACCTAGATGAAACATTACAGTGGACCTGTGCCACCAATATACTGCTTTCTAGGCTTGGCCTACTAACATCCCTTTGTGTGCCCTGATCCTTGATGGGACCTCTTTCTCCCATTGTCACAAATGTGCTACACACACACACAATCCTATAGAGTCCTAATGATATCCCTTCCACACATCATAGGGCCTAAATACATTTCACACTACCCATAGGGATGCTAGTGAAAGCCTTGCCCAAATGTCATCACCACCCTTGTCAGAACCTTCACAAGCACTTATCGTAGGAACACTGCCATTACACTGTGAGTCTCTGCCCCCCCCCCAATCAGCAACTACTAGGGATGAAGAAAGCTGCAGCATTTCAATGCCATCCCATGCAACAACTCATATTGAAACACATATTTGCTGTCACCCATATAGCAAATGTTAAGCATGTTTTGACTCACAGAAGATTCTTCTGGCATATAAATTCTCACAGACCATTGCTGCTCCTCTAGTCATATTTCTGGGGAATAATTGCACATACCCTTAAGCTGCAGTCAGAATTCATTACCTAGATATCTTTTGCTTTCTTACATCATTCAACTGTCCATCCAATACCAGCTGTTTCAGAGCAGTAGATACCTAGTCGATTTGTTCACAATATGTACCTCCACCTCACTGTACCCTTTATGGAATTACCCTACAAAGCCTAAGTCAAAGGTGGCATTGTAATTTGTACATAAAGCAGTGGATAGCTCTGGGGAGCAGGATAGCTACATTGCTTCCCCCCTTGATTTTTCTTTTTGGACTTGATGAACTGTGCATAAATGTTAGAGTGTACAGTCTACAGAGAGGAGGCTGTCACAAAGAAGGAAACTATCTAGTCTATAGGTATGTGGAGAAGCAATTTGTTGGTTTCACAGAATACCTCCACTGTCACCAACAGGTTTATTTTTTGAAATCCCAGCATGAATGGCTGCTGAGATGCTACTTCACTCCAGCCATCAGTCCATTTTGGGGTGGCCATACTAGGTAGGCCTACTAACTACTTAGCAACAGCATTTATCAGTTACTTGAAATGATGTGTTATTCTCCATTCTCCTTAGATAATACATCTCATGCAACAACTTATATAAACTGGTTAGATGTCTAGCACTATCTGCAAGTAAGGCCAATCCCATTCAGGACTTTGTATTTATCAAGAAATTTAGCTTATATATAAATGAAAGTGCATATATATTTCACCTTAAATCCTTACAGAACTTTTCAGAAATTTTATGATCATTTCATTGTAGAAATGAAAGTACCAGGATTCATAAAATGTGTGTGACCTAGCTGAGGGGGACTATGAGAGTTCAATCCAGATGCCTTGTTTCTTGGTTTGTTTGTTTTTTTCTAATAAATGCCGTTCAGTCTGGTTGACACATAACTCCAGTTGTGCCCAGTCAAGACTGGAAGGCAAAGTTTATGCCAAGAGCTAC